CAGCTGAGCATAGCAAGCTTCAAGATGCTCAGGTATGTGAAAAAGTCCTTGAAAAATTGCATTTGTGCACTGCTGTACTTGCATTAGTTTGAGTCCTATAATTCACGGCTGTTGTGGAGGGGATGGTGGATTGATGGTGAATTCGAACATCAAACATCTATAAATAGCGCGCTCAGCGTCTCTGAATAAGGTTATGTTCATACTTAGAGGTAGCGTCCATCAGCGACCACTAGCATTCCGAGCGTCCGCAGCGTCGACGTTTAGGAAAGTATACATATCGATCTAGCGAGCAGCAGCGCCTACCATCGTACTGCAGCGAACAGCGCGTCCTGGAGTGGAGAGGATGGGGAGGTAGGAGGGTAGCACACAGCTGGTAGAGTACGAGCAGATAGGAGGGTACCAGAGAGCTGCTAAAGAGTATGAGTCTACCAGCTGTCTGCTACCCTCCTATCACCCCATTCTCTCCACTCCTGAGTGCTGCTGGTCGCTGGTGAACGCTGGCAGACGCTGCTGGTCGCTAGATCGACATCTGTACTTACCTAGTCGCTGAAGCTGTCGGACTCGGAAGCTAGTGGTCGCTGGTAGGCGCTACCGCAAAGTATGAACTCAGCCCCATAATTTCATTGTTTTGGCTTTTTAAGCATCCACAGAGCATACGGCGAAGAAACACTGAGCGTCCGGGTGAGAGAAAAAAATGAGCGAGAGAGCACACATTCAAGCTAGACCACGGTTTTCATGGTCGTTTCCCTACCCCCTCTTCGCTCGACCAGAGGGGAGCTAGTATAAGGGTGAGGGAGAGGAGAGCGGTCACACCCGAAGAACAAGTTTTGAGGGGTCATTGCGACAGGACGTGCCTTGTTTGCAACAGCAGAACTTGCTGCTGCTTTATGAGGATTGAGAGGAAACTGCTGGGTTCACATGGTCGGGGAAGTGTCTCTAGTTTCTATGTTATCAAGTTATTAAAGTCAAACCGTACTAATTACTACTTTCAGACTAAAATAGCACAACTGACTGCAAGTGAAGCAGAAGCCACAAAGTTGTTGAATGACGTGCAGTTGAGTATGGCCAACGCTGAAGAGAAGCTACGAAGTTTAGAAAAAACCCGCGAACAAGAGAAATTCGAAGAAGAACGAATACGGTAAGATCGAAATATTTAATTTTCTCTGAATAAATTCAGTTAATGATCATTTTCCTGTATTTGTCAGAGAGCAGTACGCGCCCAGCAGCGGCAGTACGTAACGCCTAGAAACGCTTAAGAAAAGAATTGGAGAGGCTCACCTCGCATCGCGATAACGCGCGGAAGCAGCTGAGGCCGAGTGTCATCGTTTGAAAAACGAACTCGATCAAATTAAGAAGGAGTACGAAGAAAAGGCTGCGAGACAGAAAGAGGTGAGTGACTGTAATGGTTTCCTGGAGTTGTTGTCCTTTTCTCTTAAACTTCGAACCTACAGGAATCCGACACGGCCATACAGATTCAATATTGAAATACAGCCGAGTAATAAGGTAATAATAGCCAAGGTGCCAAAGCTGGTCTTGGCGAAAAGCGTATCCGTCCTACGTCTCCTGTCATAAAGCGGAACTCTTCTAGAGTTCGTTCTTTTTTCTCGCATACTTTTACGCCCAATATATAGCTTGACGACATTAACAACCATCATTCAATATAATAGTCTATTCTGTTTGTGTTTCAGTACAACTCCCCACATACCTCTCATCGTACAGACGGTAGTGGATGGGAAGACTGGTCGGTCCAGTCGGAGACCTGCACAGCTTTATTCAAATTCAACATTGTTGGTGCGCCGGCTATGCATGAAAAGAGATTTTTCCTCTGTATTCCCAGTTGCCGACTCCGTCACAAGCTCTTCTTAGCACTGATACGTATGGAGCTCGAATGGCCGTAGCCTGCCAATGAACCACTCACTTGACATTCCGCCAACGATGGTCCTTTATTGCTCCCTGCTTCGGTACAACGCCGCTGCGGACTCCTTCTGATCTTCCCGCCTAAGTCATTAGTACGCTTGCGCGGAATTAATTGACACTTCAAAACAACACCATTTTCTCCGTCCCTTCGCTGTCGGTTCGCCCTAATCCCGCGCGCGTCCAATCCCACTCTCGCTAACAGCTCGCCAGGCGTCAGAAACGCCTGCTCCGCGCAAAGCGGATCCCCAAGCACAACGCCCCACTCCAACCGAGCCATAGACACCCCTGCACTTTCTGAGAGCTGATTTCAACATTCGCGGCCACTTCGTGCCACCTCCCCACACCCGTCGTCCACCCGCCCGCGTACCTCGGTCAGCGATACACGTTTTCAAGTCCCCTCACCGAGCGTCTCCAGCAGACTTAGGAAATTACATAGGATACTCCACACTCACTAAGTGCACCTCGTTCTAAACCGAGCATCTGCCAGCCCGTTCACCAGCGTCCGGCAGCGACCGTCCAGACCGTCTTGGAGCGACCCAGTATCGATATAGATCTGGCGCCCGTCTACCAGCGTCCACGTGCGACCAAGAGTAGAGAGTATGGGGAAGAAGGAGAGTAGCAGAATACCGGAAGTAGGAGGGAGGAAACACCTGTTAGGCGTCGTGAAATTGTAGGGCGTGCCAACGTAAGGAACTACTACCCAATACCTTACTCCTGGTCGCTGATGGACGTGGCAGACGCTACCGTTCGCTAGATCGATATCTACACTTTCCTTGTCGCTGAGGCTGACGGACGCTTGAGACGCTGATCATCGCTAGTGATCGCTGGTGGACTCTGCCGCAAAGTAAGAACCCAGTCTAAGAGCGGGGAGAGCAGAGCGCTCGTGGTAGAATATGAACAGGTCAGTAATATGGTATTGAGCTCACTGGTCAACCAAATAAGTTCTTCGGGCTCAATGTCCGAAGTGTCCCAGAAATTACCGACCAACCTTATAGCACAGTTATGCATTTAGGTGGATCAGCTACGACGCACTATTTCTGAACGTGATCGCCGAATTGATGAGCTCGTAGTAGAAAAGGCTCGAACGGAGCAGCAGCTGATTGGACAGCGGGAAATGGAGGAAGAATTGGAACAACGTCGGTCAAAGGAAAAAGAAGTGAGTGTGAATTTTTGAGTGAAATCGATTAATGAGGTACTGATGTATTTGATCACTTATGAATTGGGGATCTGAGCGGGGTGAGCGGCTGGTTTGAGCCACCTCTCAATCTAATCACATCCCACTTTCCCTTAGGATTGTACTTGATAGAATGTTATCACAAGAAAACAGTTGGGCAAAAGTCTGGCCGCAAGCTGGACTGGAACCCGCATCATCACGCTTTTCGAGCGAGTGCGCTATCCATTACACCACCAGGGCCACTTAGCTGGATAGGATTGTTTTTCCTTACTCACTTTTGTTTTTAATAGTTGAACGACTCCGTCAAGAGTATTGAAAGACGCATTGTGGAGTTGGAAACGGAAAATCGATTGCTGGATGAGAAGAACAAAGAACTTACCGAATCTAAAGAGAAAAGCGAAGCTCGTGCTGAGGAAAGCAACAAGCATTCAGAGGAACTCGAGAAAAAGGTATATGCAAAGATCGGCCTTTCTAGGAAGGACTTCATATTGCCCTCCAAACAGCTAGAGTTTTAGGGATGTCAGAAGAAAAAGGTTACTATATTGGGAAGATTGGTATCAATCTTTATGATCTTTGCGAATTTTCCCATTATGTACTCGTACAGTGTTCCCAAGGATCACCAGCTTTGTCATATTAAATGCTTTCAGATTCAAGGCCCTAGAAGAGGCAAACGAGGAAGGCTTCCGTAAAGCAGCTGCCAAGCACGATAGCGATAGTAAGAAAGTAAGTAGAGAAAGAAAGAAAAGAAGAAAAGAATTGTATTTTCATATTCAACAACTTGACATTATTTTCAGGCCGTACGGGAGCTACAAAGAGAGGTCAAACAGCTTTATGTGGAATTGAATGAGAAGACTGACGCGCTTGATATGGCGCGGACTCGAATCTCAGAATTGGAGTCGAGCTCTTCGAAATCCGTCGAAGAGGCTGTGATTCAAAAACAAACTCATACAGACGTGGACGCTTCTCCAAATTATGGGGTATGTACTGAGAGATTTACCGATCTAACCATATGATCCTACTGTTCAAAACTTTATGTGAGCAATTTTGTGAGGAAGGAAAGCATTACTCCCAGCATTACTTGGTTTCATTTCCTATAAACAGTAACTTGCGTGTTGACTGAGTTGTCGGTTTGTTTTATGTTTGTATGTAGGTTTTGTATGTATGTAATGTAGTATGTGTTGTCTGTCCGTCCGCAAAATAACGTTCACGGTTGTTCGAGTCGCCTGGATGGCGAAAAAACGACGCTATGGCCAAAACGGTAAACGACTAGGGAGGATGTAGCAGTCCAATGATTTGATTGTGATAACAGCCTCCGCTATATAAGACAAACCATGGTACACTCCGAGCCATTGCACGAGCTGCTGGCGTGGCAGCTGGACGTGTGCTCGTGCGGGGGCAGGGTGGGGTACCGGGTACCCCCTGCCTCCCTCTCCTGCACGTGCTCAGCCGGAGCTGAGCGCACGTGTATGAAGGGAGTGCAGAGGGGAGGGTGCCGGAGAGGGGGTTTAGCAGTGCAGGAGGTAGGCGCGCTTCAGTAGAAACCGCGTCCATACCAGTGGGATGAGGAAACAACCGCTAACAAAGCTGCAAGCCAAACTATGTTACCGTAACGAACTAAGAAGTTGTTTTGGTTGTGATAACACTCTCCACTACATAAAAAAAACCACTACACTCCGAGCCATTGCAGCCGCGGTTCGCTCCGCGTGGCAGCTGGACGTAAGCGCGTGCAAGGGGCAAGGTGGGGGGGGGGTGGAGTGGCGAGTACGGAATGGGGTGAGGTGAGGAAGGTGGGAGTTAGTATCGAGTGACCCCCTTCTCCCATCCTCACTCCCTTGTACTCAGTCGGATCTGAGCCCATGCAGGGGAAGGGAGGCAGAGGGATTGGATCGGGCAAACTGGGTACAGTAAGGGGATGCGTAGCGTACGCTTGGATAGGAGCAGGCGGCAAGAGAGAAGGAAAGAACCGCTAGCAAAACTACAAGCTAATCCATGTTACAGCAACGAACTAAGAAGTTGTTTGGATTGTGAATCGCTCCCGCTATCTAAGCCAACCACTGTGACTCTGTGCTATTGCAGGAGCTGCTCGCTTGGGAGCTGGACGTGAGCACGAGCAAGGCGGTGGTAAGAACAGTGGCGGTCCCTATGTTGCATGGCGGCTGCATACCACGTGCGGGAGTGGGTGCCGGTTGTTAATAGGGTCAGTGGGATATGATGTGGTGAGGGGATACCAGATGACAACGGCGATTTCGCGATTAGGAGCACATAGCCCCTGCGGCGGTAAGGCGTCTACGGTTGCGACAAGATGGGAAGAAAATGGATCGACCGCAATCGGAACTGAACCGATTAATGTTGCATTATCAAATTGTGGTAGCGTTTTGATAGTCATAACACCCTCCACAACATAACACAACCATTTAGTGCACTCAGAACCATTGCACGGGCTATTCGCGTAGCAGCTGAGCGTGACCTGTAGGGTGGCTGAGCGGGGAATAGCTGAGGTTAGTTTGGGGATAGGTGAGGGCATGAAGGGGGGTGCACCCATTATGGCGCCGACCGCCTCCGGATGACACGAAGCACTCAGCGACTGAGGAGCACCAGAAGAAATCCGTGGCTGTCATACAGCATGGGGACGAGAACACTATGATCGATGATCCATGCACCAGATTCTGAACTTTTTCATATAAAAGTATGACCCTTGCCCGACTATATGGCGCGTTCCTAACATTTATTTGCATTAGTTAGAAGGCACGGTTAGTCAGCCTATTGAGAGGCATCATAAAATGCCGAAGACAGTGTATCGCCCTGTGTTCTGCCTTACTTATGCTCCTTTTCTTCACGAGTTAAAGGACATATGTACGCCTCAAACACATTGAGGCGTGTTATGAGACTGAACAGGCCCAGCGCGATAGTGATCGTGTATTCACCCGCATAGAAACTGGACAAACAAGAAGGGAGAGTCGAGATCGAGTGACCGAATAGGGAAGGCCAATTATTCCTTGTACTACCCAGCCCAAATTCATCCAGCAAAAAACGCGAGTTGCCATTTCGCCGCTGCGCCCGACCTCGTGAATTTTGGGTCGGCAAGTAGCAAGGCCAAATTAAAGCCTTTCCCACGGTCCCGTGCTCGGACCCCCGTGCAGTTTCAGGCGGTGGAAATCCACAGACAAGACTCGAGGACATGCTGCGGCTGAAGCCGGCTTGGTTTAGTTTCTCTTCATACACCCTCAATGGTTGAGCTTCGTACCATGTGTCTTGAAGAAGTGAGGCTCTAAAGCAGTTCCGCATGAGCCCGCGCACAGCCGGCGCTTCCTAAGATTAGGAGGAGTTAGCTTTGTGCTGTTAGCGGAGTGCGATCCCGACGCCGTTGGTAGCATTATTTGTTTGTAATTATGACTTAGGTAAATCCTGATACTACCAACAACGGAGGACAATTCGCGCACCTTCGACTATCCCTTACTGAGTTTGTCGCAGTTGACTTACCCCCACCGGGTGTGCTACACCGGTGCCAGCGATTCAAGACGACTGCGTAGAAACGCTAGAGTGGGAAGGGCTCGCTTCAGTTCAGGCTAGCTGACCACAGATTGATACGCTTCGAGCTATCTTCAAGCCTCTGAAGAACGAGAATAACCTGTTCGGAAACGTTAGGCCAATAAAAGGTTTCCATCTAACATCTTCGAGTGGCAGAAGTGTTAAACATTTGACCTACTAACTAAGAGAAATAAGAGCCAATCAAAGAGGTGACTGACTGGTGTTGTTGATCAGTCAGAGAGGTTTATTATGTGAGAATTACCGATTTCATCATAACTGGTTTTCGCTGCTTATTTCACACTGCGCACATTTCAGTTGTGGATCTCGAGGTGTGCTGATCTGACTGCCATCCTTTTCGGCGCAGTTCGGCGACGGGGGGCTTTTGCACTTCTGTTGCCCCACTAGTTCCGGTTTGCATACTTTACCTGATGAAACCTGTGAACTCCTGTGAAGCTGGAGCAAGCTCATCGAGCCACAATGGTGAAACCTGTCAACTCACGAAAAGGCTCTAGATGGGTTGACACGTCGATGGGAAGTAGCAGAAGTGAAAAATGCCCCTCGTCGCCTGAACTGCGCCAGTCTGTTCTTGTCGTCGTGTGCACTATAAAAGCTCTTTGTTCTAGTACGAAGAAGAATTGGAGTCAATGCGACGTAAACTGAAGGACTGTCATAGGGAAGTCGATGGGTTACGAGAAGCCAATTCACGTCTTGAACGGCTGTTGGAGCAGTCGAATCCAAGCCCGGTATGTTGACTTTTTCTGGTGCACTGTTTTTTTTGAGTCATTAAGGATACTAATTCAGAGTTCCCCAGCAGTTATCAACGTGAATGGTGGTGGTCTGCATGACGGTCTGGGATTTGCTGATCCTGCTGAAGCAGAGGTGAGACGGCTTCTCCCAAAAAGATTCCATCGAGCATACCCTGTACCCTAGGAATGGTGAGGGCGTGGCTGTACTTCGTTTAAACCTGGTAATCGCTGCGGTTTTGGCGATATATAG